GCATCATACTCATTTGTGGTGCAATATAATTCAACATTATGTCAAATAATTTGGCTTTTTAGGAGCTAAACAAGGCCTTACAGATGAAACAATAACTGCTTTAAAAAAGCCAAGAGTTTTTGAGAAGTTACATCACTTTTAGATACTTAGAAAATAAACAAGGACTGAAGAATACTTGATGTATTCAGTCACATTAATATTCTTTGTTTACTTCTGAAGCACCTCTTAAGTGTTACTTAGATACTGACTGTAACTGAACATCCTTAAAAACTAGGTTCACTGTGAAGCATGACTTGGCAGGACTATCATTTGTTCATTTCTCTTCTTAGAAAAGCTCTTCAAAGAATTTTAATAAAATGAAATTAAACAGGGAGAAGCAGCTAGTGATGATTTTTAGGCCTAAAAGAAGACTTGCTGGTGTGTCGTGATGAACAAGTGCTCTGTACAAGCAATTTAACTAGCAGAAAAATGTTTATGGTGAAGGTAACTTACACAAGTTCCCTGTACAAAATAAATAACGCAGTGTAAGCCATTTCCATGTCAAGGCTTTTGTTGCTTTGGAATGTTGCTGCTAAAACAAATAGCAGAATCTCATGCACAACCAGCAATAGACCTGACCACTGAATTGCTTTTATCTTGTTTGCTCTCTTAATCTGTCCATAATTACTGGGTTTGCTCCATCCTTGTCATCCAGTCTCTTACTAAAATGGACTGGATGCGTGGATTTGACCAAGGAAAAATCTGAACGTGCTTCTTCATCATCCAAAATATGTTTTCAAAATGTATCAGAAATTTTAAGGAGGTAACTGATGATTTGCTGATCTCTTATAAATGTGCTGCCTTGTCCAGGTGGTTCTGTGTGGGTGCCGAGGGGTAGAGTTCCCATTATTTGGTTTTTCTGGTTTCAGTCTTCTGCTGAGTTGTTTCCAATTGGAAACGTGACCAAAATGGTGAGCATAGTCCTGAGTGGGAAGGTACAAAGTAGGCAAAATTGTTCAAAAGTGGAGTGTATTGTGCAGCAGGAGCTTTCATAAACAAGTTGACACTACATGTTAAAGTGCCTGAGACCAACTGCAGTGAGAACCAATGACTCTCTGTCAGTCCTAACACTGCCATGGGGTTTTTCCCTGTCACTTACACTGGGCCTTCAAACGAGCAGTGCAGTTGTTTGAGCCAGATTGCTTGTATAGAGTTATTGTGTGAACTACCTAATGAAGGTCTAGAGACAAATAAAAGTCTTGTCATGACCTTTGTGTTGCTATTTTATTTTTAGAGACATTTATACTCTCTGCAAACTACTTCTAATGGTTTACCTCAAATCAGAAATGTGCTTTTATCTGTTTAAGGCAGAAAATAAAAGTCTTGCATAATGGTGGTGTTTCTTTTTATTTACTGCAATTGAAATCGATGGTTAATCTCCCCCAGTGTTACAAGTTTTACAGTCTTTCTCTAATGTCTTTCTTCTATTATTCCATGAGTAGACTGTTCAAGCTGAATGCCTCTAAATGCAGCTCTGTAGCATATTATTTTTTTTTACAGACTATGAAACATAGAACACATTCACATATATTTTACTGTTGCAAAAACAGAGTTAAGCACAAAAAAAGCCCAAGTAACTGCTGACACTGGGCACAAGCTGCTCTGGAAGACCACGCTGTAGTGGAGCTAGGCAGGGCTACAGCCTATCCTTCAGAGGGTCCAACACCAACTCTTACGTTAGTCAACAACCCTGAGGAACTGAACACCATTTTAAGTGCCTATCTGTACAATACAATTTGATGCATCCTAAAGAATAAACAAACAGAAAACTGGCAGTAACACAGGACAGAGCTTAATGTTAAGCACACGTGCATGAAGTAGCATGCTTCAGGGTAAGACCTCTACCTTTTCAGAGAAAACCAAAATATTCATTGTGAAAGGGGAAGGCATGTGTCATAAGAGCAGAGATTCCACAAACAGGCAGGCACGCATTTTCTGCTGAAGTGCTGGAGAAAATGGATATCTTCTCATGTTTTCTACTGTTCGTTGCAACTTGATCCCTCCAGCAATATCTGGCTGCAGTGACTAAGCAAAAAGAACCACGCCAGGTAGCTGAACAGTTTCTATATTAACCAAGGAGAGCACAATGAAAAGCTAAGTGCAGAGACTGTCATCAATCTCCCTTGTGAAGTGTTGAAATACCAGTTATTCACGTGTCATGACAGCACACTTGAGCTCGGGCACAAATCAGAGCAATCGAGCAGCATCTCATATCCAACCAGTTGTGGCAAACTGTCACCTGCTTTGTAAAATTCAGAATTTCCTTCACCTGGACACTGCTTACTCTTAATTTAATTATCTCTGCTAGCTCTTACTTCAGGTTGTATGTACATACAGGTTAGTAACGAATGCTTTTGCTGAGAGTTACATGATTTTATAGAAGGTGAAATAAATGGGGAGGCATTCCTACACCGTGTTCAATGTCCAGAATATGAAAAAGGCCACATACTATAAATGTGTTATTATTACACGTCAAGCAGGTGGACTGAAATGATAATAGGCGTAATGTATTTCTGCTTCAGAAACTGTCTGCAGGATCGTGACTCGGATTTTGACTTTGGAATTCAGCATGAAGTACAACTGCCCACACAGTGCAGGTAACAAAGCTCCAGATCAGGCAGCTCCCCCAGGGCTGATAGCACTAGCTCTGCTAGGGGGCATCTTCATTAGTTCTGTAGGTGAAGTTAGAGCTGATTGCAAGGCCTGCAGTCACAGGGCCCTATTTCATAGGGCTTACAAGTGTCACAGTAACAGTAAACAGTGCTTCCACAAAAATATATACATTCCAGAAAAGCAATAACCAACACGAATAAAACCCCATCACCTCTTGAAACACCATCTCACTGTAACAGCATAAACCAAGCTCCAAGATATGAAATTATACTAGGAACATTAAGTGCTCAACTATTTGAATGCTTTTTGCCTGTTAAATGCTCAAATTAAATACACATCCCTTAACTTTCCTGTCAGATAAAACATTTACTCCTGAAAGCAACTGAAATTTAATTTACTAAGCTAGAATTGTAAAGAGTTTTATGTATGTTTAAGGATTAGCCTTCAGGATAACCAACACAATTTTACTGAACAGTTCAGCATGTGGGAAGATGGGGTTTGAGTTAAGTACATAGGAAGGAAAAGTGAGGGATTAATACTAAATATCCTAGGAACAGGTTCTAAGTAAACCCAACTCATAAAGAAAAAAGAAACACAAATTATATTTTGCTACAGAAGATACAATGGTGTCTGTTTTAAGTAAGCATATTTTATTCACTAACAATGTTTCATGCTGAATGAGGACTTGGAGACAAAGATTTGCTTTATCAATTCCAATCAATACAGGTGAACACCAGAAGCAATTACAGAACTGGTGTATTTATTTGTTTATACCGACTAGTGGGAAAACACATTGATAAGACCCTAGACATTTACACTGAAGGAAATCCATAGTTCCTGCCTTACATTAACAAAAACAAATACCTTCTCACCTCTAATTGAAAGGTGTGACATATGGGAAAAGGGCACTTAGAGTGCAGAACTGACTGACATGGGGAAATTCTGTCATCTTTTCTTTTATATCAACTCGTGCATTGAGAAAGAAACACAGCCTCGGTCCTGTTGGTGCAACTGAAACATTTCACATGGTTAACAAATACATTAGCTGATCTTTTCTGTAACTATAAAATACTAAAAAGGAAACTTAAAAGAGGCATGAATGTTCTCCACAATACAAAATTGTGGAGAACATTCTGTCAAGAATTTTCAAGAGTTGACAATTTCTGTCAAGAAAATACAGCGTTTGGGGAGGGCGGGGGGTGGTTGCTTTTTAGATAAAATAATTGGGTAACACTATTTTGAGTAGTCATTCGTGATCCTCAAAAGGCACTCAGCATCAACGTGTGAACAGAGGCAACAGGTAGAACTTGGCAGAGCGTGGCTCAGAAGTTTGTATGAATCACCAATACTGAACACTGGGAGAAAACCAATCTACCACAAACAACTACGATTTTAAAAAAATCATTATTTATTAGAGCAGAAGTTACAAATGTGGGTAATATGTTATATAAGGAAGGCAACATCATCACATTTACATACCGACACGTAATAAATTAAGCATACTAAAATGAAGGTTGAAATAATTAGTGTATTGTACGTAGAACTGGTCCTCTCTGTCTCGCTAGGGGACTTTGGCCCAGAGCAAATCTGACTGCCTCCTAAATACAGCCATCTGAGTAAATGCAGATATAACTCAAGCTCCCAGACTGAGTTTTTTACTTCCATGCAGCAGAAATTCAACAACATTTGACAATTCTTCTAGAAATTTTATGTAAGCTTAATTGTACTAAATAGATATCTCACTGCACGTGCCTTCAAAAGGACAGCTTCTTGAAATCTTGTGAACTTATCACATCCTTGCCTATAAATTGGAGAGAAACAGATTTGAAGGGTGGATTATTCAGAATAAGGAATTTGTTGGATGGTCACAGCCAGAGGGTTGTGGTTAATGGCTCCCATGTCCAGGTGCAGGCCAGTGACAAGTGGTGCTCCACAGGAGTCCATCTTGGAACCCATCCTCTTCAACATTTTTATCAGTGATACAGACAGAGAGATCAGTGCACCCTCAGCGAGTTCAGTGATGACACCAAGCTGAGCAGTGCAGGGTGACATACTAGAGGGAAGGGATGCAGTCCAGACGGACCTGGACAGGCTTGAAAAGTGGATCCATGAAAACCTAACCATGTTCAACAAGGCCAAGTGCAAGGTGTTGAACTTGCAGTGGGGCAATCCCACGTATGTACGCAGAGTGGGAGAAGAACTCCTTCAGAATAGCCCTGCAGAGAAGGACCTGGGGGTCCTGGTGGGTGTAAAGCCAGACATGAGCCAGCAGTGCGTGCTCACAGCCCAGAAGGCCAACAGTGACCTGGGCTGCACCAGCAGAGGGCTGGCAGTGGGCAGGGAGGGGATTGTCTGCATCTGCTCTGCCCTCGTGAGGCCCCATCTGCAGTATTGCAACCAGGCCTGGGGCCCCCAGCACAAGGAGGATGTGGGGCTGTTGGAGCGGGTACAAGAGGAAGCCACAAAGATGTTCAGAGAGCTGGAGCACCTCTCCTCTAAAAAAGGGCTGAGGGAGCTGGGCTTGTTCAGCCTGGAGAAAAGAAGGCTCCAGGGGGACCTCACTGCAGCCTCTCAGAACTTGAGGGGAGTTTATAAGCAGGAGAGGGACCAGCTTTTTACATGGTCTGATAGTGATAGGATAAGGGAAAATGGTTTTAAACTAAAAGGGGAAATACAGGTCAGATGTGAGGAGGAAATTCTTTATTCAGATGGCAATGAGGCCCTGGCAGAGGGTGTGTGCACCCATCCCTGGAGGTGCCCAAGGCTGGGCTGGGTGGGCAGCCAGCCCATGGCATGGATGGGGCTGGGGGGCTTTAAGGTCTCTTCCAACCCAAGCCACGGTGTGACTTTATGATTCTATGGTATTTTCAACCTGCATAAGTATGAGCTGTCAATATGCTGACAGACATTGCTCTTTTACTGTCCAACATTCAGAGCTGTGCTTAGAAAATCAGATTCTCAGAAGCGCTACATCTAGCAGTTATTGTGAAATCCTTCCTTCCAAAGACCAGCAGGTTTTCAGAAACGCTTTCGGAATTGTGAATAGTAAACAAGTATTTTTCCACTGTGAACACTATATATTTTTTTCTTATTTAGAAATCTATTATTCTCCACCATTACATATAAATGTCCCCCACAGCTTCCAATTCCATCATTTTAACAATCTGATTGAGAAGGCACTTCATATCCTTGCTCTATGATCTATATATCTATGTGCTTGTTGTTGTTTTTGTTTTTTTTTCTAGGGACTTGATATTACTAAATACCGTATCTGTAAACATAGGGAGTTGTGTAAATGTCAGTCAGAGTTTATCTCTGAGATCTGAATCCATAAATCTTCAAATTCTTAGCAACTGGTCCACAAAAGCTTGTCTGGCCCTGGAGAAAATTTTGGTCCTTGCATCCAAAAGGTAAATAAAGATTCTGTTTTTGTGGCTTGCTACACCAGTTAGACAATTCTAACTGAAGGAATTGTCTAAGGAAAAAAAGCCCAAGTATTTCCAATACCTTTTAACGGCTAAAGGGCTTTCTTCTTCCACTTTTACATAGGAGCTTAAGAGCTATTATATAGTAGCTGTTCAGCATCCTCTTCTGGGCTCTGCTCCACAGAAAGTGTCTGAGCAGGGGTTTGTCTGAATTATCTCGAGAGGAAAGAGAGGGCATCCTCTTTCATCTGCATCCATCTCTCTTCTCAATATTAATTTCCTCTCATCTCCTGTAGATAAGTATACGAGAAAGTTACTTGAAATTAGTTTGTGAAGGGGGAGGGAGGGGAAGACATGGGGAGGTGGCTGTTAGGTAGCTGCCAGCAAACGTGTAAACATCGTACATTGAGAAAAGGCTGTGAATAACAATATTCAGAGATGCAGCAACTGCGTATGGAAATCAGATGATCACCTAAACTGAAATCCACTGACTTGAGACCTCCCACACAGATGTACTACATATTGAGCTTCCTTACAACTCTGTAGTTGTTCTAGAGCACGTGGAGTCATTAGCATGCATGTTGTTAGTAACAGAATAACCACCTATCTACCAATATTTTACCCAGTTAAGAGACAAGTACTACTCTCCAACTGCAGCTGCTCCAAGTGTTTCTGAGCTGAACTGACAAAACCTTTAGCAGCAGTGCAATCACAGTCTTTTTGTACCATTTCCACACTCTGTTAAGCTTTTACAAACACTTACCGTCCATCACTGTAAGAACTGTGGCAATTAATCTCAGAGATTATGAGAACTATGACTATCAATTGCATTCACCTCAGCTCTGATTTACCTCTCTCTCACCTGTGCACCGGAGAGTCTCCTGAAGTGGAAAGCAATCAGAAGCAGTGATGCCTGGTGCTGCTGTGCCTGCGTGAAGTGTCTTGAATTTCACTTTGTTGTGGAACGCTTTATTACATTTTCTTTGTATCTTTCTGAGTGACTCCAGCTGTAAGCAACTCTCGGTCTCTGAAAAGTCACATTCATCAGATAAAAAATCAGAAGAAAGCTTTTTCCTCTTTTTCTTCATTTTGTAAGTGTTTCCCTCCTCTTCCCTGAAATGTCTCTCACTTTTCTGTCCTTTATGTCTTAATTTACTGCTAGACCTCTTGCATGACTTTTCAAGGTTATGATCACACTGCCTAGCCAAGCCCTCACGGGCAGAATTAGAACAGAAGTTACATTTGCTGCTTTCCTTTGTTTGACCTTCCAGAGTTACATTCTTGAAATAAACCAGTAATTTTCTCTCTTTCTCTATTGCAGGCAAGCACCCTTTATTACAATTGCTGTGAATCTGTTCGCTCCTTTCTGTACTCTTCACTGCACCGCTGCATGCCTCACTGAAGTACTCAGAATCACTGATCTCTTCCAACACGTCCTGTAATTTGTAAGATCTACAAGTTTTGTATGGTTTGGTAACTTCATTTCTACCATCTTCTCGTTCAAATTCCTCATCACGAGCAGCAGCAGTGCAATCCAAAGAATGATTTGGTTCAGCATGTGATAAGAAATCAACAGTGAGTGTGTCATCCCTCTGTATTTGCAACTTCTTTGCGAGCCTATCTGCGCAGGTCTTATTTTTCAACACTGTGTCTGTTGATTCAAATTCCCCAGCAGTGATCACTAGTCTACAGTTATCATCACCAATGCAATTTCTGCTGTTGAGATTCTGTACAAGACTCACTTCTCTGAAATGCTGACCTTGCTTGTTACACAAGCTGATGTGAAAACCACTGTCGTCATCGCACACCACTCTCTTCCACCAGGACTTGTTTGCAGAGTTTTTTGTCCCTAGGGAAACACGTTCATAGCTTGGTGTCTGATAGTAGTTTAATAAATAATGAATGAATTCATCGGTCTCATAAACCTTTTGCTTTCTGTAACCATCTTCAGACCCTGTCTGTGCGTGAACCACGTTCAGTGTTTGGCAGTCCCTTCCATCTAGAGATTCAATGACCTTGCAGTCTTGAGTCACTGTAATCAGTAAAGATCCACAGCCAAAGGAGGAGTTGTATGCATCTCTGCCAGTCAATCTGTCAGAACTCAGAGCTGGAGCGGGGTCATTTAAAATTGTTTTGACTATATGAGAAGTAGATGCACAGAAGGCAGTCAAATCTCCGTCCTCACAACGTAAGCTGCTATTTTTTTGGGTTAACTGACACTTAAGTTCTTCCTCGTGTTCCAAATCTTTGTGCATAAGATAACAGGAGTTAATCTGTTTCTGGTGTATGGCTTTTAATGCTGGTTCAGAAAAGGAATCATCCTTCCTTACGCCCAGTGAAGGATCCACTTTCTGACTTGCCAACTGCACAAAGTCCTTCAAATGAAAATTGGGAAAATGATTATGTACGTTTATTGAGCATAGAGAATTATAAAGACTGCAAGTTGCAAACTCATAAATATGCAGTTCTACATTCAGAAGAATTATAAAGGAGATAAATTTAGCTTAATTCAGAGCTCGATCACACAATCTCACTATTCCTAGGCCACAACTAAAGATACTTCTGTGTCTCAGAACAGGGCATTCTCAAGTAACTAAGACAGCTGTCCTTTCAAATAATTCATCTGCCTCACTACAACTGCTTCAGAAAGCATTTATTGTTCGATTTCTGCACCTCAACCAGTGTTGTTTACAATAGAAAAATTACTAGATTTTTGTAGATAAGAATATTTTATTTAGACTAATTATTTTACCGTACATAGTTTTGATGGGTCCAAATACAACCAATCTAATGCTTTCCATGTGTTGAAACCAAGAAAATAAACGTTTATTTAACTCATCAAATTCACATGAGGGCTGCTCCAAAAGTAATGCCTCCTATGTTATCCTGTTGGCCCACAACATCAGAGGAGGATTGTGGTAGTATGGCAATAGAGGCTGAACCTTCTCACCAAATGTCCTGCTACACTGTGTGGCCGTGTGACAGATGGCAGCATAGACAGAATAGTTCCTGACATGGGAGTGTGGATAAAGCAAAGGGGTGGAATTGAATTCCTCCACGCAGAAAAAAATGGGATCCACTGACATTCATCAAGGCTTGGTGAACATTGATGGAGACCAAACAGTGGATGTCAGTGCAGTGAGGGCTGGGTGGTGCATTTCAGCAGTGGTGACAGCGAAATGAAAGACAAACCACATTCTGGATGGCCATGCACAGCTGTCACACCACGAAATAAAGAACGTCTTGATCAGCTCATCTGCATGAATCAGTTCACGTTGAAAATTAGTGATATGCAGTGAAAATTTGCTCCATAAAAGAGTGTCATTGTGCTCCTTCTGTCTGTCGTAGCTTTCGTGGAAATAAATGGGAGACATTACTTTCTGAGCAACCTATGCAATTAATGCCAAAATCAGGTGCTGTGGAGCCCTAAAATTCACACAGAATGGCAAAGGTAGCCTCTAACTTTAACTCTTAGTGAATGGTGGACCTTTAGAAATCTTAAATATTAAGGACTGGTGAAAAACAGACTAGTTAAAAGCTGCGAGCTAATTTTTATGTAGCAAATGATGAAGACAGTGTCACGTTAGCACCCCTAAGATTTCAAACTTTTTCACCCCAAAGCACTAAAATAAGCCTCCAAACATGAATTTCTGTGCAAAACACTCCAATTTGTACCGCTCCTCTGCTGACTTTCTCAGGATACTATCTAAGTCAGTAATAAAACTTACAGCTTAGTGTTGGCCACAACACAGAAGCTATTAGAAATGAAATCAGCATAATTCATACGAACTTAGTTCTTTCACTTGCAGACCTGAGACCAAACATCAACCTTTACATTCCCACCCCTAATTTTCCTGTTTGCAATGTTGGATCAAGTCTAATAAGAGTTGATGCAGTCCCTCCAGCCCTATCTTGACATAATAATGACAAGGCTTCAAACAAGTATCAAAGTTTCTGAGTAGAATCACACTACCTTTGCTCTAAGGACAAACAGTCACAAGATTTAGACCTCAGGCCTTCTCAGTGTTCAGTCACTCCTAAGACATTCTTTCAAACAGCAATAAGACACCAAATGTCCACCAAATTATTCAAGCTCTAACAAACATCCTTCAAATTGTAAAATACGTTTTAAAGTATTCTTACTTTCACATGGTTTAACAGCACTGTAAGCAGTCTGACAGACTCCGCTCTTCTCTGAGCTAGCAGGGATTTCCTTTCTTCCCATTCAGGCACATTCTCTGGCCACTGCTGTTCTTCAGCTGGTACTTTGTGCTGCTTTTGGGGATGCTTTTCATCTCCATCTATCTGCCTCTCCTCTCTTCTTGAGCTTAGCTTTCTTTTTTCTCTCTTGAACCTTTTGTTCATCATCACGTTTTTTTCTAGGTAATTATCAATATGGGACAATTTAGATGACACTTGTTTTACACTTGGAGTCCTAGGAAACTGGATGTCAGACTTTGAACTGCTAATAATAAGCAACCTGTCACCAAGAACCCACATTAGACTAATAAGAAATGATGGTTGTTACAATAACATGTTTAAAGAAACAACACATGTTGATGACATCCATCTAACTGATGCACACATTTAGAACATAGTAGTTCTGCATTTACCTCTTCTAATGGTTTGTATTCTAGGGTTTTCTTTATACACACTGCCAAGAAGACAGACCCACATTATCTTTTGTCTCCAAGGACACAATCAGAGACTAAGTATATGGATCTAATTCTTACCTTAACAAAGCTCCCCTATAGATTAGCATGAGGGTGACATTAAGAATTACAAGACCACTTCCATTGTTATAAAAATTCAAGTTGAAGCTGCCACTGCTTTTTTGAAACCTTGTCCTGTAGAAAATAGATCTACTAAACAGCCAACATGATATAATATGGAAAACTCCAGAAAACTCAAGGAACAAAGTGTTCACACAAGTATTTAAAATTCCTAACTTTAAAGCATTTGAGTAAGAATATATTCAATTAAAAATAGAAACACAGCAATGTTTTCAGAGATCCAACATTTTATATACCATGTTGGAATCACAGAATCGTTTGAGTTAGAAGGGACCTTCAAAGGCTGTCTGGTCCAACCCCTCTGCAATGAACGGGGACACCTACAGCTTCATCAGGTGCTCAGAGCCCCATCCGACCTGACCAAGTTCTATTTGTGCTACTGCCATAACATTCTAAAATTCAGGGTGTTCTTTTGTTTTTGTTTTGTTGGTTTTCTTTTCTTTGCTTTTCTTTAGACATGAAGGTGGGTAACATGGTTAATTACCAGTGACAGTGTAGGATGCAATACAAGCAGACTACCCACAGCATCTAAGCTTTTATATACTACTGTTACTCATATACAAAATTCAAAACCACTGCTCTAAAGATAACAACAATGAAAAAAAAAAAAACCAATGTGTAAAAAAGGGTGGAAGGAAAGGCAGAAAAACAGTGCTCATTCCTAGCTTTGGACCTTACAGTCACTTGGGAGGCACCTAGAAATGTCTGTCACATTAACTTTACTTCAAAGCATAAAGACATTGATTTGTGATGCTGCAGCATAGAATAATAGAAATAAGTTTATAAGCAACACAAGAAAACAACCTCATGCAGAGCCTTAAGCCTCAGTGCAATCCGAGGGCAGCAGCTCTCAGATTTCACTCCAGGTCCACAGAAGCATAGAATGGTCAAGTCTGAAAGGATCTCAGAATGTCTCTAGTCCAACCACTTTCTCATAACACAGATGCCATCTGATGCCTTACACACTGAGTTAGGTTGCTTTTCTTTCCCACAGTAACACACATTAAAAACTATGAGGCATTGGTTCAAGTTCTTGGATTCCTGTTTCCTCAAAGCCTGGGTTCTTACAGTTGACACTCCCTTCTTGGATGCCACTTGGTATGAAATAGTGTAACAATCTGAAGGAACAGCTGATGGACATTCTCTAAAGTCCAGCCTCACCTTTCAAACCTCTTCTTTTTTTTCCCTCCCCCTTTTTAAAAATTTTCTTTCCTTTTTTTCAACTCCTGTTCTTGCAGCTTTAGTCTTTCCAGGCTTCTCTTTATGAATCCTTCCCTTAAGTGTCTGGTTGTATCAGAAGTCACCTGTCACAGAAGAAACAGAAGCAGACTTACTAGTCCAGTTTGCCATCGTTACAAACACTGACAACCGACTACACAAAGGAGACATCCTAGGTAACTACTAAATAATGCTGCACTTGAGAATTACATTCTCTACTCTGGAAATACTAGAATGCCTTCTGAAGTTAACACCATAAGATGTCGGCCAAGCTCAAACATCTAATCCTAAATGTCCCCTGCTGAGACACCAGGTTTCACAAGCTGACAAGCTTTGGCCAAACCTGTTCTTGCAAGCTGTTTTGGAGAGTCAAAGTTCAGTATGTTCAGTGAGAAGCTCCAGCTGTACAGTTCATGCAGTTCTGACAAAATCACTTCACTTACACTTCTGAACAACATCTCTGGGATCAAATGCTTGTTTACCCAGTAAGAAAGTATGAATCCTACTGATGTGCACTGCATTTTATCAGCTTCAAATGCCCAAATGTGAGCACATTAAAAGAAAACATTCAAGCAAGCTGCATCAAGGTGTATCTATTCTAGCAAAGGAAGTGATGTGAGGTATTATTTCCAGCATAGGGACAAAGTTTAGGGTTAAAGATTCAATTTTCTGCTGGAAAAAATACCAAAACAGGCCGAACTGTGATTAGTCATGATGGACATAAGTTACTGGGCTGATGAAACGAAGCCTGCAGACTGCAAACTCTCCTATAATGTCACCCTAAGCATAGCACTTAACTAGATTTATCCCTCAAAACACTTAAGCAAAAAGGTACTAAGAAGAGAAAGGTTGGTAGCCTTTACTAGCCTTGACCCAAGCACCCAGGCTATGGCAGCTGTTGCTTTGTGCTAAACACTGAGACACTAAGCATCTTTCAGAGCATCTCTCCAGCTCCTGAGCTAATCTCCCAGTTTCAGTGCCACCCACATTGACAGTATTTACAATTTATAGCCTGCCCACAACTATTTTTCAGAGAATTGAGATTCCAGTTTTAAAGGACTTCAGTTCAGATGTGTTAAGTTCATATATCCACTGCAAATAGACCAATTTTAAGTTTTTTCCTTCACACGCTTAAGTGCCCCCGAAGTTTATGAAGAGTTTTCAGCTGGTTTGCAAAGATCTCGCAGTCCCAGCCTTAAGGAACAAAAGTTAGCAAACCAAAAATGTGTTAAGCACGAGAAATGTGTTTCCCATTGTGTAATTGTGTATGAAGCACAATTACATGTAATAGCTACCGAGGTTTTGCTGCTCTGCAGTGTGGCCTTTTGGAATCAGCCCTAACACACTAACATGCTGTTATCTTTAGGCTTTAATTCTTCCAGGTTCACAGGGAATCTGACATTCAATGTCATTACCAAATCAGTATTTCCTTTTAACAACTCTGCTGTGCTCATAACATCAGGAACACCTTTGCCCTTGCACTGCTGTTTATTACAATAACTGCAGACTCAAATGCCCCTTGCTACCTGCATGCCTTTCTTCTGTGATCATATGTTCTGATAATGTAATACTTCGAAAAAAAACCCAAACATTACTTAAATGTATTAAAAGCAACAAAGATAATGACCTGGGACTCCGAGGATCTGTGGCCAACTCTGCTGACAAATTCCTGTGAAACCCAATACACTCCTGTCCCTCAGGACCTTAAAATAATACAATACTGTAGTACAAATTCCAACTAATTGGGATTGTAATAGACCACCAGTTCACTGCATTCCACTTCAGTTGTACACAGCGACAAGCACAAAACCTGGCCATCATTGTGGACTAAAAGCACTCTTCCAGGAAGAGGCCTAGTCTTGATTTGAAAATACCAGGCTATGAAAATCTGCCACTTTCCACGGGCCATTTGTTCCATTTCTTACCCACCCACCACAGAGATGGAAGCCATTTGCAGCTGATTTTTTGTAAGCCTCTCTCCCTCTCCAAGGTATCAGCAGCTAGGTTTGTTTCATTTCTTGTTTTCTTTTCCCCTTACACAGTATAATTCAGGTGTCTGTAAATAACCTTCTATAAAAAATACTTAGAGCTCTCTAAGATCTCACAGCCTCTCACCGTGGAGCAGTTTTTCCAGCCTCTGAGCAACTCACTGTACTGTTCTACCAGTCTCCAACTTAAATTGTATCACTCCCCAAACTGCACACAATATTGATTTGGTCAGTGCCAAACACAGAGAACAATGTCAGTCCTTTCCACCTACCTGCTATCACCACTGAAATTCACCCCCCACAATACTGCAATGGAAACCCAGCTATTGCTAATATATAACAACAACCCTTTCACACCCTTAAAGAAAACCACAAGGATACATCAGCAACTCAGAAACTGATTAGGTATCTAGATTGTTCTTTTCACATTAACTTAACTACCTTTGAACACCCTAAAATATGTCACGTAAGTTCATCCTCCAAACAAAATCAGCCTTTAGGGAAACATTAACAGCCTGGCAATATTTAATTTGAAACACTCTCGGTCTGTATGAGTGAAGTGCAAACTGTAAGAACGATTTCAGTCGAAGACAGCCCTGAGATGTGCTCAGAGGACTGCTATCCTCAGCAGCTCTTACCAGCCCGTCTCCCAGCCGGCTGCTTGCTCCGGGCCGTGGGCCATCGCAACTGTTTTTGAGACCACGCCATCAGCTGGGCAAGGGATCTAGCTTGGGGGAAAGAGAAAAGGGTGTTTGGCAGGTCGCTTTTCAGACAGCTCCTGCTCTTGTTACAGCACCACTTCGTGAGCAGTCCAGCTGAAGGAGAGCGTGAGGCAGGGGAAATACCTCAATTCTGCAAAGGCAGATAAAAACAAATCCTACCAGCAACGTGGCAAGAGGATGTGCTGATCTGTAGCAGCAGCACGGAAACGCATTTACCAGTCCCTTGGTGAAGTTTCAACACGAGACTGAAACACAGACGGCTTTTCAATAGGCACAGCCGGTTTACCCAGCTGGCCCCGCACAAAACCAAGCGAGGCGCAGGGCTGAGCAGAAGCACCGCTTGCCGCCGCGGTGCCGCACGCACTCACTGCAGAACGAGCGCTTCAAAGCGAACGCGCCCGGCGCGCTCGATGCCGGGAGCTGGAAGGCCGGGACCAGGCGAACCCGAACCGCCCCCGCGACGAACGCGCCGGCGGTAAGGCCGCAGCCCCGCCCGGCAGGACGCGCTTCACGTCCCAGCGGGCCGGCAGGCACCGCCCGCCCCAGCGCCGAGGCCGCCCGCTCCGCACCCACCTCTCCGTCCGCTCCGCCGTTCCGCGGGGCCGGAGCGGGGCGAGCCCGGCCCGTGCCGCAGCCCGGCGGCGTCGCCCCTTAGCGCGGAGCGGCCCCTCCACCCCCCCGTCGCACCGCGGCACGCTCAGCCCGGCCGGCGGGGCGCCCCGACGGCGAGCTCGGGGAACGCGCCCGGCCCCGCGGCCCCGCCGAGCCCGGGAGGCGGCGCGACGACCCGCTGCGCCCCGCCCGGCCCCCCGCACCGCGCCGCCCCCGGCCGAGATCGGGCCCGGAGGGGAGGCGCAGCCCCGCGGCCGCCGAGCCCCTCCGCGCGAACCGCGCCGCGGTCGCCCCCCGGGACTCCCCGGCGCCGCCGGTGCCCCCGAGGGAGCGGAGCCGCCGAGCGCGGCTCCTCCCGGCCGCGCCCCGCCCCGGTGCGCTCCAGCAGCGCCCCGCGCCGGGCGGGCCGTGCCGGCCGGGCTCCCCTTACCGCTCCGGCCGCCGCCGGCTCCGCGCGCTTCCCGGCGCCCTTGCCGCCACCACCCCCGGGGCGGAGCGCGGCGCACACCGGGCAGCCACGCGGCTGGGAGGGGGGACCGGAGCCGGTCCCGGCCATCCGTTCGCCCCGTGGCCGCCGCCCTGAGCAGACAGGAGGCGCGGAGCGGACCCCGCCGCTCTCCCCGCCGGTGGGCGCCGCGCGCGGTCTTACAGCGGGGGACTGGGGCGGCGGTGCTGGGTGATCGTTCGGGATTTTGGGGGCCTGTCCTCTTCAATGTCTTTATTGATGACCTGGATGAGGGCACTGAGTGCACCCTCAGTAAGTTTGCGGATGACACCACTTTGGCTGAAAGTGCCAATCTCCCTGGGGGTAGCGAGGCCCTACAGAGGAATCTGGACAGGCTGGATAGCTGGGCTGAAGCCAATGGGATGAGTTTCAACAAGGCCAAATGCTGGGTCCTGCACTTTGGCCGCAACAACCCCAGGCAACGCTACAGGCTTGGGCAGAGTGGCTGAAAGACTGTGTAGAGGAAATGGACCTGGGGGTGTTGACTGATGCTAGACTGAACATGAGCCAGCAGTGTGCCCGGGTGGGCAAGAAGGCCAATGGCATCCTGGCCTGCATCAGGAACAGTGTTACCAGCAGGAACAAGGCAGTGATTGTCCCCCTGTACTCAGCTCTAGTGAGGCTGCACCTCAAGTGCTGTGTCCAGTTTTGGGCCCCTCACTGCAAGAAAGACACAGGCCCTGAAGCGGGTTTAAAGAAGGGCAACAAAGCAGGTGAGGGGACTGGAGCACAGAGGAACAGCTGAAGGAGCTGGGATGGTTCAGGAGAAGAGGAGGCTCAGGGGAGACCTTATTGCTCTCTATAACTACCTGAAGGGAGGTTGTAGTGAGATGGGGGTCGGCCTCTTCTCTCATGTAACTGGTGATAGGACTAGAGGGAATGGCTTCAAGCTGCGCCAGGGGAGATTCAGGCGGGATGTTAGGAAATATTTCTTCTCTGAAAGAGTGGTCAGGCACTGGAATGGGCTGCACAGGAAGGTGGTGGAGTCACCGACCTGGAGGTGTTTGGAACATTTGAATTTTGTGTTGAGGGACGTGGTTCAGTGGGAACTATTGGTGATGGGTGGATGGTTGGACTGGGTGATCCTGTGGGTCTTTTCCAACCCTGGAGATTCTATGATTCTATGACTATGATTTCCTGTGTGATGCTGGGGAGTGACTCGCAAAACATGGGGCTGTATTGGGCCCTGAAAGCTGTGGCTGCACAGGTCACCTGAGGGATCGTAGAATCACAGAACGGCTTGGGCTGGAAGGGGTGTTAAAGATCACTCATTCTCAGTTTCCTGCCATGAAGAGGTCACCCCCACCAGCTCAGCCTGCCCAGGGCCCACCCAGCCCAACCTTGGGCACCTCCAGGGATGGGTGCACACACCCTCTGCCAGGGCCTCACTGCCATCTGAATAAAGAATTTCCTCCTCACATCTGACCTGTATTTCCCCTTTTAGTTTAAAACCATTTTCCCTTATCCTATCACTATCAGACCATGTAAACAGTCCCATTCTGCTTAAAAACTCCCCTCAAGTTCTGGGAGGCCGCAGTGAGGTCCCCCTGGAGCCTTCTTTTCTCCAGGCTGAACAAGCCCAGCTCCCTCAGCTCTTCTTTAGAGGAGAGGTGCTCCAGCTCTCTGAACATCTTCGTGGCTTCCTCTTGTACCCGCTCCAACAGCCCCACATCCTCCTTGTGCTGGGGGCCCCAGGCCTGGTTGCAATACTGCAGATGGGGCCTCACGAGGGCAGAGCAGATGCAGACAATCCCCTCCCTGCCCACTGCCAGCCCTCTGCTGGTGCAGCCCAGGTCACTGTTGGCCTTCTGGGCTCTGAGCACGCACTGCTGGCTCATGTCTGGCTTTACACCCACCAGGACCCCCAGGTCCTTCTCTGCAGGGCTGCTCTCCAGTTCTTCACCCCATCTGTGTACATGGGGACAGCCCCCCTGCAAGTTCAACACCTGGCACTGAGCCTTGTTGAACATGGTTAGGTTTTCATGGATCCACTTTCCAAGCCTGTCAGGTCCATCTGGATGGCATCCCTTCCTTTGTTGTCCCACGTGCACCACTCAGTGCCATCAGCGATCCTGCTGGAGGTGCGCCTAACCGCACAGTCTGTGCATCGCTTTGAAGACGGACCCCCCCCAAACAAACCCAACACGGCCAGGCAGCGCTTCCGGCACGCAACCGGAAGTAGACCTGAAAGAAAACCGGAAAAGGAGCCGGAAACAGAACCGAGGAAAACCGGAAGTAGGCGGGGCGGGTAGATATCTCCGGTATCGCCACGAGGCGCGGTGTGTGGAGCGCGGAGATGTTCGTTGCGGCCCGACTGCTCGCTTCACAGCGGCACTTGCCTCGGGCTGCCGGCAGCTGAGAGCGAGGCAGCTCCGAACCAAGCGATAGCTCAGAAAGCTGACGTTGGTTTATTGCAGCGCAGTACCTGGGGCAGTGTGATGTGCATGATAAAAATAAATAGCTGTCTGGTCCCCGAGGAGCGCCCGCCTTTTGCCAGCACTCGGAACGCCTCAGCGTGCACGCAGGGTGTCCTTCCCACAGCCTCCTTCCCTGCGATCAGATGGGCAATAAGGAGGGACCGAGGGTGCTCTTTGGTGGCCCTCAGGGCAGGCTCTGCACAGGAACGCCATCAGCGTTCAGGCCCTTGCAGCTTGCCTGTACAAATGGCATCTGCAGGGAGAAAACTGTGCTTCTGAACCCAGCCTGGACAGCAGATGAGACTCAGTGCAGTGATTACTTGCCCATAGGAGCCAGGGCACAGCAAAGTCCGCCCATTGCACTTGCATAGCTATGGATGCATGATTCAATTAATTTCCTTCTTTCAGGGGACTTTCAAAACACTTTATGAGCTGGACTCACGAGAAGGCTCTCAGGAGCACCTTTTTTATGAGGACAGGCTGATAGACCTGGTGCTCCTCAACTGAAGGAAGGTTTCAGGGGGACCTTATAGAAGCCTGTCCATACTTGAAGGGGACCTGCAGGAAAGCTGGCAAGGGACTTTTATACAGGTATACAGTGGCAGGACAAGATGAAATGGTTTTAAACTGGTATATTTAGACTAGATATTAGGAAGAAATTCTTTACTGTGAGGCTGATGAAGCACTGGAACAGGTTGCCCAGAGTCATCGTGGATGCCCCCTCCCCAGAAGCATTCAAGGCCAGGCTGGAGGGTTGTGAGCAGACTGCTTTAGTGGGAGGAGTCCCTGCCTATAGCAGGACAGTTGGAGCTAGGTGATCTTGAAGGTCCCTTCAAAGCCAAACCACTCTGTGATTTTATGATTTTCATCGGCCTTTGGTCAAGGCTTAATCCTTTTCAGAACCAATTTGTTTAATGAAATATGTATTCAAAAATAAAAATGGCTTTTGGCTTTGCATGGCTATTTTGTGGCCCTAAGCTCCTTTTTAGTTAGAAAGGAAATGCGTGCTTCACTGGGAGGCGAAGCTCCTCAAGCAGCACAAAGCAGGCATGGCCGTTCTTGAGTATTAGGAAAGATGCCAGCAGAGGAAGGAGCCACTTCTGGTGAACCCCAGCTTACAACAAGAGAATGCCTCGCTGTTATCATTTTTATCATTTTTTGTTAAAATCAGGGGAGTGTAACTCAAAGAAGTTCAAAAAGCTGTTTCTTCTGAAAGACCAGGCTCCCCATCCACACCACACCAAGTTGGAAAGCCCACCTTGAAAAACCACTTCCTGCACTGTCATAATCAAAAACTAAATACTGACATCCAGCCAAGGTGGTAATTAGAGATGGTACAAATCATTCTTTGGTGCCATTTTGTGTAGTTCTGATTTTAATACAATCAGTATCCTGCAGAAAATAGCTACGGGTCCCCAAAGTGATTGTTTGCTCCAGAACACTCACATTTAAACTGTTATCATCAGAGAATCCCTGTTCTGAAAACTCAAGAGCAGAAACTGGTTAAAAAAAAAAAAAAATCAATGCTGGAATTTCTCCCAGTATGTATGCATGACAAGCTGGGACACCCAAGAACAGTGCAGACCTGTCAGATCATGTTTACATCACAGTCACAGTGAGGCACTGCCACGCTTCATCACAATGCCTGGTTGGACCCTCAGCCCCACAGGGCACCTGTGGAACCACTGCAGGTTTGTGAAGGTCAACTGCAGTCACGCTTTCATCCCATCCAGACCAGCTAAAATGCCAAACACTGATGCAGACAAGAAGATACTCCACAAGCTGGGCTTCACGCTGGGTGAGATCTTAGGAGAGGGTAGGTTCTCCACAGTGAGGGCAGCCACCTCCACCAAATACACGGTCCGCCTAGCTATCAAGATGGTGGACAAGCGAAGGGCCTCCCCAGAATTTGTGCAGAAGTTTCTGCTCTGGGAGCTCTCCATCCTGCGTGAGCTCGATCATCCCAACATCGTGCTCATCTTTGAGATCTTTGAGCTGACCAACAGTATGGTCTACATTGTGATGGAGTCGGCAGCCACTGACCTGCAGCAGCGGCTGCAGCAGCTGGGCAAGCTGCCCTGCGTCCCCGATGCCCGGGACATCTTTGTGCAGGTTGTGGGAGCTGTGCACTACCTCCATGACCGCAACATTGTGCATCGTGACCTCAAGTGTGAGAACATACTGCTCAGTGCTGATGGCCTCCAGGCCAAGATTGCTGACTTTAGCTTCAGCAAGGAAATGAGCAGCTACCCAGAACTGAGCACCACCTTCTGCGGAACAGAAGCCTACATGGCCCCAGAGATGTGGCTGCATTACCCTCATGATGCCAAGAAGTTGGACGTCTGGAGCCTGGGGGTGGTTCTTTTTGCCATGGTGACTGGCTACTTGCCCTTCCATGGCTGCCTCTGCAACATGATCCAGCATCAGAAGGATGGGGTCCTGCACCTGAGGGGGGTGTCTGTGCTGCCAGAGCCCTGCCAGGCCCTCATTGTCCAGCTGCTGCAGTTCTTACCATCCTCCCGGCCCAGCATGGAGCAGGTGGCCAGCAACAGCTGGCTGAAGGGGGATATCTAAGGGGAATCCTCCCCAGAGAGTGTGTCAGGACAGCCACCTTTTGGTGCAATAAATGCTGTTGAAGAAAACCGCTTGAGCAGTTTGAGTAGCAGGGTGTGGGTGGGATTAAACTTCAAGTCTTGGCAAGACTTGGTCAAGAACTTGATCAAACCCCTTCACAAAGAAGATGCATAAACCTGCCATTGGTTAGGCTTCAGGCTCTGGTAACTGTGTTGAGTGAGGGGTTAGAGCACACTACAGAGCTGCTTGCACTAGAAGTGGCTGTCTGAGCAAATAGGGGGGCCAGGTCCAAGCTCTCCCATTGATCCAGCTTTGCTAGCCACCAACCTGTATTGAGCTTTAGATCACACAGGAATACTCACAAACAAACAAACAAACAAACAAAAACCCTCACAGCAGAATGTTTACAAGCAATCCAACAGCATTAACGACCCAGAAGTTTTGGGGTGGCTTTCAGATCCATGCCTTAACTTCAACCACATCTTGCAGACATGGAATAATGACAGCATTTGAAATCTCTGCCAAGAGATAGCGGATGAGAAAGAAACATACTGGCCACAGAAGCAATCAGCCTAGCAATCACGGTCACCCCCATGACTCTGTCTTTTCAGCTGCTCCTGTTGTGAAGAACAGAAGTCAGCAGTAGCCAAAATGTAATTGCCAGATGTATGCATTGCTTGCTGTCCCATGTTTTCATGGGTCTATGCTTACCCTTGCAAATTCTAACTCACTGCAAAGTCTGTGTGTCTGCAAGAGTAAAAATAGCTTGGTAGCCCAACGTTCCTTCTCCAGGCAGAACCAGCTTTGGGAGCAGACCGTGGCACTTGGGACTTGCTTGGGATTTTGCCTGGAGGACAGTTGGAAATCTCCAGGGGTGGAGCTAGCACAGCTGATGGGGGCAACCATGTCATGGGGTGTGAGTGCCCTCTTATCTGTGTTAAATGTAATTAGGCAATTTGGATCTTTTATTCAGAGCTGGGAAAGAGCCTTCTGCTTTTTATGTTCTTATGAATTCTTATGCCCAGTTCTTATGAATTTGTGAGATAAGGAGTTGGCAAGAGAATTCAAACGTCTCTCTGGGCTATTAAATGTTGGTGAATTTATTATCAAGCCAGAACTACAATCTGATTGAAGGTCTGAAAACCAGAGAAGTTTAAAAACACAGTTGTAGGATCACATAGGATTACAGAATGGCTTGGGTTGGAAGGGACCTGATGCAGATGAGGGCATATCTCACCCCCGCAGATGGAGGGAGGGGCCCAATGAAATCGACCTGCTATTGATGGAGTGGATTGTGTCCTCTAGCAAGATGGGCTCTTGTATCAGGCAATGGTCTTGGTCTCATCTTGGAGCCAGTGTCGCAGTCTCGGCATGCCTAGGCGATATCAGCTTTAGCAGCTGCCCACATTGTCTTTTGTCCAGCACACATGTAGAGATTGGTAACCAGAAACATGGTAGACAAGTATGGTCCTGTGTTTAACCGCATTCCATATGTCTAAGCAGATTTCTCTGTCCCACACTGTGAGTAGTCCATTTTTGGGTGGCCCACTGTGCCAGATATGGCATATTTCCCTTTCTGAATGGGACTTTTGCCCAGTGAAGTGACTACTGTCTCTTCTGGCACATCACTGTGATACTGTGTGCTGTCCTGCTATGTCTTGTGATGATTCCTCAGGGTGCTGCACAGTTCCTTGAGGGCCAGCGACCAGCTCTGAGAAGTCACCTGGTACTGGTGGCCTGACACTGCTACTCTTCCTGTCTTGTGATGCTGCAGCAGCAGCAGCAAACCCTGAACAGATGCTCAAGTGCCCTCCTGAGCAGATTGCGCCGTGGCCGGTGCTCACTGTGACTCCTGCCAGCAGACGGGAGAGATTCTTGTTGGCCAGGGGCTTCAGGCACAAAGACCTTTTCCCTTCCTCTGACACTGCTAGAGGCAGAGGCTGCTGCTGGCAGATCAGGCAGCTCGCAGGTGCCACTGGCAGATGTTGGTGTCTCAGCTGTGGGCACGTGCTCTGGTGCAGCTGCCTGGGCCACTGCCTGCTCTGGTGGAGGTGGCAAGGTGGGCACGCTGGCCGTGTCTTCCTGCAGGACCCCATTGCCGGACAGTGTCTCATTGTCTTCCAGCTTGTTCGTCTGCAAGAGAAGACAAGAAGAAAGAAGTTAGTTAGGACATTTTCCTGTGTTGTCCTCCATGGTCCTGCTGCAAATGCTCCTGCAACCTGTCCTTGTGGCGCAGCTGCATGGGCTGCTGCCACCCTGCTCCACAGAGCTGGCTGGGAAGAGAGCAGCTCCTCATGTGGCACCTGCTGGGCCTGGGGGCTCTCTACAGCAGCCCCCACCATGCCCCGACAGCTGACCACACTCAGTGCAGCTCAGTCTGACGGGGTCAGCCCACCTGTCTCCTCCAGCACTTCCTGACTGCTGGACTCACCATGGCCTGGGCTGTGTCCTCCAGAGAAATGGCACAGGCTGTTGGGTCATGCAGACAAGGCCCCTGGCTCTCATCCCTCGCAGCTGTTCTCTGTTTGCTCTGGAGGGATGAAGTTGGAGCATTCTCTTCTTCCACTGTTGACATGGATGCTGGCATCCCATGGCCATCATGCGCATCACCTCCAGCCTTGGCATCTGTGTGACTTGATGCAGCAGGAAGAGCTGTGCTCTGTGCCTGGCCATCTGACTCTCCCGAAACATCTGTGTCCGTGATGCTGGAAGAGCTGGGCGTTTGCTGAGGAGAATCCTGCAGGTCCCGGCAGAAGGCTTTGATCCTAGGGTTGACCCAGTGGTTTATGATCACTGGCTCTTCATCATCACCTTCTCCCAGCTCATCCTTCTCTGCCATGTCCTGTGGCTCACATGGGACTTTCTGCTCTGCTTGCTGCTTCTTTGGCTTCTTTATCTGCCTAGTTAATTCCCAGAAGCTGGCTAGGCTTTGCCCAGTACAGGCTGCACAACTTTTACCCATCTCTGTCAGCAGCTCTGTCTGCTCTGACACGATCTTTCGACATGGCCTTCGAGTCTCATGGTGCACCCACAGCCTAGCACCTATCACTTGGCACCGGATGCACGGCTTCAGGACTGCTGAGTGCCGCTCGGCCCAAGTCCCTTCCTGGTGCTCTGGCGTTTTGTAGCCCCTACCTGAGGAAGTGGGCACAGCTTCTTTGTGGGCAGCCATTGCTGCTGTATGCACTTGGGGACCAGGCCCTGATTGAGGAGTGACTCTGTTTGTGGCCTCCTGGGCCTCGTCTGCTTTTGCTGCTCCTGCTGCTTGCTGAGCTTGTGTCAGGTCCTGCTGTCCGATGCATACAGCCACAGTTTCTGTCTGGACTTGTGGCAGGGGGGATTGCACAGTGTTCTCCACTGCTGCGTCACTGATGGCTGGGCTTGGTGGAGCACTTTTCTGTTTGCCCGATCCTGCTGCTTCATCCTGTTTGCCAAGGCTGTCCAGAGCAGTTGTGCAAAGCTCCTGATGGCCCGGGGCTTCAGGCACAAAGACCTTTTCCCTTCTTCTGCCACTAGAGACAGAGGCTGCTGCTGCTGGCAGATCAGGCAGCTCGCAGGTGCCGCTGGCAGATGTTGGTATCTCAGCTGTGGGCACGTGCTCTGGTGCAGCTGCCTGAGCCACTGCCTGCTCTGGCGGAGGTGGCAAGGTGGGCACGCTGGCCGTATCTTCCTGCAGGACCCCATTGCCAGGCAGTGTCTCATTGTCTTCCAGCTTGTTTGTCTGCAAGAGAAGGCAAGAAGAAAGAAGTTAGGACATCTTCCTGTGTTGTCCTCCATGGCCCTGCTGCAAATGCTCCTGCAACCTGTCCTTGTAGCGCAGCTGCATGGGCCTCTGCCACCCTGCTCCACAGAGCTGGCTGGGAAGAGAGCAGCTCCTCTCTCTCCTTGGCTTAGACTGACATGGAGACGGCCCGGCTGTCTCCTCTAGCATGTCCTGCCTGTTTGTCAGCTGCCTGCTTGTCAGCAGCTGGCAGGGCTGCCAGAGCCACTCCACCTGGTGTCCTTGGGGCTCCCTACCTGTCCCTGGTGGCTGCCATGTGGAGATGGCAGCGGCGGCAGCCTGTCCTCTTGGAGGGTGGATTCTGGGCTCTGGCTGCCCGCTGTCATTGTGTGAGGTGGCCTGTGGATCACCTGCAGGGAAGAGAAGGAGAGGGATTGAGGCGCCTATACTGACCCAACAGCACCCACTGTGTCACCGGACCTGGGCCCTATGTGTGGCCAGGCAGCTCCTGGCCATGGATGGCAAAGCTGAGCGTGGCTAAGCTGCTCTCTGCCCTTCATTTCCAAGCTTCCAGGGCCACGTGGGCCTTGGCTTTCCCAGGCATCATTATCTCTGTGTGGAGATGCTCCCAGGTGTCCGGAAGCACAGTGCTCAGGCTGTAAGGTGCTCAGGGCCAGCTGGCCAGCTCTCCCCAACACCATGTCCCTCCTCCTGCTGCTCTCCACACTATCCTGTCGTGCTGCTGGTCTCTCCTTCAATCTCTGAGCCTCACCTCATCTTGCTCCTGTACACTTGGCAGCCCTTTGTTGGGCTGAGAGTGAGCCTTAGGCTCCTCTTCCTTTGGCATCTCCATGTCCTCGTCCGGAGATCAGAGAAAGGCACCCAGGAGAGTTGCTGCCTCCTGACAGAGCTGCTCTCCTAGGAGTGAGCACCCCTAGGGCTCTGACCCTGCCAGGGATGTTGTTGCTGTAGTTACCATTCCATGTCACAATGGTGTGGTGCCGTCCACCCATTACAAAGCCCAGGCTGTGGCTGTGGGCCCACAGAGGCCCATGTGCTAGCAGCTGCCCAAGGGATAGCAGCTCGCATGCCCACAGGAAGCACAGGGTCAGCAGGGGCCCCTGTGTTCTTCTGCCATGCCTCCCCTTACTCAGCCCGGTGGTCCTCTGTGGATTCTCCCATAAGTCCAACACTCTCATGTGCTGGGCACCCGAGACTGGGCACAACTCTTTCAAGGCCACCCGTGCTGGTGAAGTCTTTCCACCTAAAGCATGTCCTGTATCACCAGGGTGCTGCCCTCGTCCAGCAGTGGCACTCCAGTCCTGTTTTTGGAGCTGCCGGTTCCCACTGTCCTGAGATCTGCCCCCCTGTTTGGACTAGCATTCACCTTCTGTTGTGGTTTCGTGATTTTTTTGTTGTCAGTATTCCACATCAGAACATCATGTGGACCAGTGGGAGTTAACGAGTTAATGTTCTGGTTCCGTTTACTGTTGTGGACGCTGAGCATCCTGATGGGAGGGGAGGGGGCGGCATCCCCGGAGGAGCTGGCGGGCAGAGGCAGTGGGGCGGAGCTGCGGACCCGGAGCGGCTGCCTCTCCCGGTCTGGCCCCGGCTCAGCCGTCTCAGCTCGCCGCGGAGGAAGCACGTGCTTTCCCTCGCACTGGCGTCGTTTGACTCTCATTTTTTGATACTCTTGTCTCTCTCGTTTGATTTAGTTTAGATTCAGTAAATTACCCTTCCTCCTCAGATCGCTGCCGTTGCGTTTTCTCTTTGTTAAAACTATCGCTAGCTCTCTGCCCTTCCCCCTCTCCCGGAGCGCACGTGGCCCGGGGCCGGCCAGGTCGCGGCAAACGGTTCGTACCCCCCCCTTTTTTTTCTCCTCTTCCCGGGGCTTGTGCCTCCCTGTCACAGACTTATATCTAAGGATAACTTGTGACACCTTCTCAAGCCACCTCTTGCTAAAGAATCTTAGAATGGCCTGGGTTGAAAAGGACCACAATGATCACGTAGTTCCAACCCCCTGCTATGTGCAGGTCACCAACCAGCAGACCAGGCTGCCCAGAGCCACATCCAGCCTGGCCTTGAATGCCTTCAGGGATGGGGCATCCACAGCCTCCTTGGGCAACCTGTTCCAATGCATCACCACTCTGTGAGTGAAAAACTTCCTCCTCATATCTAACCTAAACCTCCCCTGTCTCAGTTTAAAACCATTCCTTGTCCTGTTACTATCCACCCCCATAAACAGCCATTCTCCCTCCTGTTTGTACAGCTCCCTTCAGTACTGGAAAGCCACAATGAGGTCTCCGTGGATCCTTCTCCAAGCTAAACAAGCCCAGTCCCTTCAACCTTTCTTCATAGGAGAGGTGCTTCAGCCCTCTAATCATCATAGGGTCCACCCTCCCTTTCTGTGTTCACCCTGGACATGGTATCTACAGCCTGTCTCTGGTCCTCAGTGCCCAGTTGACAGAAATACAATACCTGTGAACAGAGTGTATGGAGTTGCAATCAGGTGTTCTACTCAAAAACTTGATCAGGTCTCTTTTACCGGATAAAAACATCCCCCGCTCCACAGTCACGCCATCGTTGCTTGGCAGTACGTGCATGTGTGAGCAGCTGCTCTCAAGGATGAAGCACAGCAGGAATAAAACTTGATGTAAAATCTCTGAGCAGCACCTTGAGAGCTCCCTGAGAACTGCTGAGATGGCCATCAAGCCCGAGTGACACCTTGGTTTATGGGAAACCAAGGCAGCCCCTCTTCACTCAGAGCAACCCGGGCAAGCCAAAAGGCTGGGCACCCACAGATCAGCTGCTGTCTTCCCACTGAGGAAATACACAACCACAAATAGTGGAGTTCCTGGCAACCACTGGCATGTAGTTTAGCTCCCGTACAGACCTGGGAATTGCCGCTCCCATTAGCAGCAGAGCATTTGTGCCAAAAGCAGGCAAAGGACATCTTCTTAAACCGCTGTGTGGAAGCACAGTGAAGTTCTACCGAACGCAGCCTCATCAAGGTTTTGGTCTGTTTTGTGAGCAGCAGCTGAGCAGAGGGGCCAGTCTGAAGAAAGTCACTGCTGTTGCCCGATTGCACTGCCCTCAGGCACTGCCCTCATCTCCTCTCCCCTCCTGCTCTCTGCCTCCTGCTCCTTTCTTTTGAATCCAAGAAATCGATGCGTAGAAACTTAGCAGCAAAGTTTTGTTACCACTCAGTCAGGTGTTCTTTATTAGCAGCACCAGGAAGCACTGGGGATATTTCCACCGCAAGCGCTTCAAACATTACACGATTCAGAGTCCATTATACTTACACAGATAGTACATATTCATCAATTACACGTGAAAAAATTAACATATACACACCTATCTGAGGTAGTGATTTATGAGGTTTCCAGTCCTCTATTCCATGGTCTCTTCCACCGCCTAGCATCCTTTTAGCATCATGACCATCCAACAACAGCCTTTTACTTCATGCAGTGATCTTCCTCACCTGTCTGCCACACAAACTTTCTTCACTCATGCACACTCAGTAGGAGAATGCCTATTATAAGTAATTGATAGGTACCAAAATCCTAACATTTGCTCACTCAGCACTTGGATGTTATTTCCAGACGTCTGCTCGTCCTTGGATAGAGAGGTTTGGCAACCTCTTTTAATGAGATATACTGGGGTGCAGCCTGTCTTTTAATGGTATATACTGGGGTGTCAGAAGATGAGGATAGAGGGAAGTATCTTGGTGTCTGCCTGTTGTGTCCCAACCTAATCCCAGAGTGAGACAACGCAGCCTTGTGTGGAGGCCCTGGTTTCACTACTGTGTTTCTCTTGCTGAAACCCTCTTGTCAAAACAGCCTCACAGCACGCTTTCTAGTCAACGGTGCTACATCCATAACTATTTGCAACATCTAAAAACTAAACAGTTTGCAAGCAAGAACTAATCACAAAGTACAACAATTCAACAGCCGTGTTTCTAAAAATATGCTAAAATATGCTAAAAATACTAAAACATACGGCACATCTACTTTTTTTTTTCAAATCAGCTATTTCTAAAAACACGTACAAATACAGTAAGGCCTGTTTCTTCAAACCAGTTCCCCCTTTTCCAGTCAGCTTGCGAATGCCAAAGCAGAATCTCGTGTTGCTCAGGCTTAATCACTGCTGGCACTGCCCGAGCCTTCTGGATCAGTCTCTTAAGTTGATACCAACAGGAGCACTTGTTAACGTCGGAACTATCAGCAGTAATGCTAACAATGGACGGATTAACATGTCCAATGCTTTTGACGTGGTCGGCGAACACCCTACAAAGATGTCCAGCAGCAGCGAGCCGCGTCTGCCTCAATTTACCCTGAGGTTTCTTTTAAGTTCATTTTGGGTGACTATCGTTTTCACCGGGGATTCGCGTAAGGTTTAATTACGCTTTTGGACGTATTCTTTAAACCACTTCTTCTGATTCAGAACTCGAACCTACCACTGCCGCACCGGCCGTCAGCCGCCCCGCCGCGCCCCCCCTTCTTCGCTCGGCTGCGCCCGCTCCGCTCCGCCCGGCCCAGCCGCACCGGGCGCGGCCCGCAGCACCGCCCCACGGAGGCCGCACCCGTCCGGTCGGCGGCGCCGCGCAGCCCCGCGGGGGCCATGGCCACCTGGCGGCGGGACGGGCGGCTGAGCGGCCCGCAGCGGCTGTGCTGCGCGGGGCTGGCGGGCGCGCTGAGCCTCAGCCTGACGGCGCCGCTGGAGCTGCTGACGGTGCTGGCGCAGGTGGGCAGCCGGCACTGCGGGCGGGGGCTGCTCGGCGCCGGGCGCGGCCTGTGCCGCACCGAGGGCGTGCGGGCCCTGTGGAAGGGGAACCTCACCGCCTGCCTGCGGCTCTGCCCCTACAGCGCGCTGCAGCTCGCCGCCTCCCGCCGGTAAGCGGGGAGGGGTGCCTGGGCCGGGCCGCGCTCGGAGGAAGCGGGGAGCGGGGCCGGGGTTTGCACCGCGCAGCCGCTGCTGGAGGCGTGCGGTGCGTGCCGGCGGGTCCGGCTGAGCCTTTCGAGCGGGCAGGGCCGCCCGGAGCGCAGCTGCAGCGCCGCTCGCCCCTGAGTGCAGCGCTTCGGTCATCCGCGTCAAAGAAGGGAATCGGGATTGGGATCTTCGCATCGTTCCTGAAGGTGATACGCCGCCTTACTCGCTTTAACGGCTCCGTGCCGGTGCTGACCCGGCAGCGGGTCGCGGAGCGGTTCCGGGAGCTGCGGGTTCCGCCGCTCGCAGCGCTGCGGTTCGTTTCTCGTTCCGTTGCGCTTTTGGGGGCGGCTGCGTGCAGGCGGAGCGCTGCCATCGGGGCTCCGCTCCGGGCGCGCTGCGGGCGCGGGACGGGGAGGCGCAGGGATCCGGCACGCAGCGCAAAGCGCAGCGCACGTGAAACGGCGTCGGCTGGGCGAGCAGCGGCTTGTATGTTGTTGTCGGTTGTTTTGCCCTGGACGAACAAAAAAGAGCGCTTCAATGACAGAACAGCAGGATTCTGTACTTCCAGCCAAGATTCTCAGCTCCTTTTGCTTCCTGCAGCTGCTTCGGTAACGTTTCTTCACCGATTTCAAATGCTCCCTGTTCCCAGCAGCGTCCTCCTGTGCAGCACAGAGGTGTCAGCTGGAGGCCAGCCTCTCAGACTGCTTCCATTTCAGAATTTCCAATTCACATTTCACCCGCTGAGCGTGACAGCGCTTGGGCACAAGTTTCCCTGTGGGCCCCCTGTGCCAAGCTAAGCAGCAGAGGTGGGCACGGGCTTCTCAGAAGGTCCTGTGATGAATGCCTTCTGAGAAAAGCTGGAGACCCGTGTCTCTGTCGGACAGCTGGTGGCAGAGCTTTTCATGCAGGCTGCTTCTCCATTACAGTGATTTTCAGCCTGTAACTGACGTTCTGTGGATGAAAAGCACTTTGGAAATCTCTTGCCGAGCAAAGAAGTAAACTGGGGGAAGTGGCTCCTCGCTGTATCTTTGCAGCTGTTGTTGAATTAGTGCTCTGGTTCTCCAGAATGGGAAATTGCAACTGTGTGTGTGTTCAGTGTGTGCTGGGTACTGTGGTGCAGGTGGAGCTGTACAAGCTGCCCTCAAAGCTCATTCAGGTACTGGAAGCATCTGAGCTCATGAAGGCTGCAGGTAAAGCGAATGGCATGTGGGGAGCTGTGTACTCCAGCCCCTTGCTGTTGACTCCTACTTTTGTGTTTCTGTGTGAGCTCCTGGGCAGGTTGTTGTTATTCTGCTTGTGTTTTCCATCCCTGTGTTCTGATTCACAGAGACTTGATGCTTGTATGGTATTAAAGAATACAGGGAGGTCTTGGATTCAGTACTTACTGAGATTTCAACTCCTGCTACTGGAGGAATCTGTGAGCAGAACAATTACATAGGATTGTATTCTGTGATTCTAATTATATCAAGATCTTTCTTTTGCCATTAATGATATCTCTTTTATGCTTTTACTGTAGACTTGTAATACTTTTCACGGATGAGTTGGGCCATATTTCCCACTGGAGAGCTATCATAGCAGGAAGTCTGGCTGGCATGGTTGCAACTGTTGTGACTTACCCTACTGATGTAATTAAAACCCGGCTTATTGTGCAGAACCGACTGGAACCATCTTATGAAGGAATTCTTCATGCTTTCTACAAAATTTACCATCAAGAAGGACTTCTTGCACTTTACCGTGGTGTTACGCCAGCTATATTAGGTAAAATAATCATGGGGAAGATGACCTAATTGCACATTGTTTATTGTAGCTGTATCAAGCGTTTGCTTGCTCACTTGATTTCAAAACAAATGGCAATGTTGTTCCATGGAAGGCATGTGGGTTTACAAGGCACAACAGTACTGATCTTTGCTGCTGTTTTATTCCTTCAAATTATGACCCATATCGTTGCATTTATGTATGGTTATCAGAATAGTTTCCTTTTGTAGATAATGCAGTTGTGCTCAGATGCAGGATTTTTCTTGTTTAACTCTTTAAAAAATGTAAGCATGCCATGTCTGTGATTCCTGTCAGGGTTTGTCTCCCTGGCTGCTTAGTGAGACCACTGTGAGCAGCATTGTGTAATCAACGTGAAGATTAGTGATGGCCTCTCTTTACATGAAATATTTAATTATTTTCTCTCAGTAACTTTAAAAAATGCCATTGGATTTCATCTGCTTTTTCATAATGTAATGTTTTAAAAAAAATCTGTAGTTATAACATAGAATTGCACTATGAAATTTAGGAGAGCTCAAAGCAAGCAGGAGAAGACAGAAGCGTTCCTCATTTGACTGACAGAAGAGGCAGCTCTGTTTACAGGTCTAGGGTTGGGTTGGACCACAGATGGAGCTTGTTGCAGAAGAGCTTACCTCGTGTGAGACTTGACAATTTTACTGTGCAAATATGTACCTCTGTCACCGTGCCTAGGTGCTAAACTGGGAGGGTTCGATGGCAAGCCGGTGGCTAGAAATAAAAATTTTTCTAAGTATTGATCTAATTTGAGCAATGTGAACAATAGGCTTGCAGCAGTTTGTACTGTCCATCTAGGCTATGTAATGAGAGCTGTTTTCTTCGTGCACAGTGTGCTAATACCAACCTCTGCGTGGTTTGCTTTCTAGGTGCCGTCCCATTTTCTGTGGGCTCATTCTTTGTTTACATCAATCTGGACAAAATCTGGCGAGAACCCATAGTTTGTTTTACTCCCCTTCAGAACTTCATAAATGGCTGTGTAGCAGCTGCTGTGGCACAGACGCTTTCTTTCCCCTTTGAGACTGTCAAGAGGAAGATGCAGGTACAAAATGCTGATGTTGCTGTGCTTTGTTAGAGGAGCCTGTTTCGGGAGCTTGGGATGAGGATAGCCATTACTGCCTTGTTTCTCGTACCACATAGGCTACAGATGCTCTGGTTTAGGTGGGTTGTGTTTGTCTTTTCTTTGTTTTTAAATATCTGAAAATTCACTGTTTTAAAACTGTTGTTACACTTTGAATGTAGGTTCAAGTACGCCATGGGATTTGTGTTTCCTTTAAGGCTCTGTCATTAGCTTTATTACTTCATATAGTTCTGTCAAATTCTTATCTGTAAGATAAGAAAATTTTCTATCAAATACAAGCATTTCATTCATTTGGTATTAGCTAGGATAAATGAGATCTGTGCCATTTCCAGTTTTGGTGTGTCTGCTGTTTATGCCTGGCATATGTACAGGTAATCACAAGAAACTTATTCAGCACATATTAATTCTGAAGGATCAGATTTAATCCTGACTCTTCTTTCTGACTCCTGTAGTTAATGGAACTTCACAGTTGCTCCCGTTATCTTCCTGCTTCTTTTTCCTGAAAGTTTAGTCATAATAGTTAAAAACCAAACCAAACAAAAACCTTCACACCCTACAGCTTCTGTCTCATTGCCATAATTCATTTGGTGTTGTCATCTTTGTTGTCTTTTCGTTAGAGCTTCACCAGTAGAGTGACAGTGAATAGCTAGCATTCTTTGGTGGCTATTTGGCTATGGCATATGAATTCCTTCTTTCAGCCCAGTTCATGGAACTGTAAACTTAACAGAAAGCTTTTGTGGTCTTATCCAAAACAATGTCATTTTGTGTGGCAGCATTTTAGAATCTCCCTTCCCCCATCCCCTGCTGGTTAAGTCACAAGCTAGCAAAAGGTCACCGAGGCTGTGAATTCCCCTCTTCTCCAGGGTTCCCTTTTTCAGACAGAGCTTAGATCCAGTACCACAGGAGCACTCAGTGCCCTCTTTCCACCTTGTAAAAAAGGACTTCAGCAGAGACCAGCTCTTGTAGTTCATGTGTGCAAAAGGTAAACTTTAAGCTGAGCCCATCGAGTAGCTCATAAAACATCTCAGGTAAGAAGCAGGTTCTGGTCATGAAGATGGGTTATTTTTTCAGCTGTATAAATGGGTCTACAAAAATCAGTTCTCCTCCTGCAACTCTTACTTTTCTTTTAATCCTTGGGCTCACAGCAGTGTTGTTGCCTGAAGATTAAAGAAAACATGTAATGCACTGTTTCCCTTTTAATCTTTTTCTATTGATGTGTCAGTTACTTAAACGTTCAATTATTCGGTTTTCGTAATCAGTTCAGAAGTTCCAGGAGTGAATGGTGTGATGTTCTGTGTCCAGCCTTGTCTCCATAGGCAAGGGAGGCATCATTCATCTTGTTGCCACTAGGCTGTGCTCTTTTGCCAATAGGATGCTTAGAACGCCTGACATTTCCAGAATAAGGAATTGGATTAACTTCCTAGATATGTAGGAAATAGATATGTTAAAAATCTGTCCGAAGCAAAGAAATGCTCAGTGACAGAGTTTTCTTCTTCATAGATGTGTTGCAACAACTGAATAGTGATTTCCCAAGCGTAGAGAAGCAACACCTGTCCAGCAGTTTATTCTGACAGCATGGGAGAATGCAGCTGTCTAGATGTGACAGCCCATAACTCATCTGGTACTAGAAGTGACTCATGTAGGCCTGTCTGGAAATGAGATCCTTTGAAAATTGTGCCCAAGTTGATATAAAGCAAGGTATGGATTTCATGTAACATGATTCAAGAAGTGTTTTTCACTGTTAGCATCAGGGTGTTGCTCAACCTTGCAAGGGTCAGCTCTTCAGTGTGCGTGCTTGCTGGTCTGCTCAGCCTGAAGGGTGATGGCCAGAAGACAGGAATGATCAGAGCAGCACCAGGATGGGTATCATGCAAAGGGGCATAAGAAAGGAGAGAATAAAGCAGGGAAAAACAGGGCTTTGAGGCATTTCAGCCTTTCACAGAGAACAGGGAACACATATCTCTGAGTTCTTGTTTTCCTCAGCCATTTTAATCTGCTCAGCTTCTATTCAACAATTCCATTTTCTAGCTGATAAAAAGAGGGGTGTCCCAAAGCCTTTAGCCACTGTTGAACCTCATATGATGTCCTGCTTGGTTCTGAAGCCATGAACGCTAGTTTTGTGTATGGAGAGGAACTCTGCATGTTGTAGAGGTCCATATCAGATGAAGGCAGTATATAGCCAAAGACAACTTCCAGTGAACCCACTGGTGATGGAGAAGCAGGGAGTTACAAGGTAGTCTCAGGAGCTTCAGAAACTGGGCTGTCTTCTCTGATACTGGCACTGAACACAAGCCTGAGCCCAAAACATGCAGTTCAGATCTTTACCTGACACGCTAGGCAGTCTTTGAAGAGTTGGCTCCATCTATTTCCTCGTCTAGAAAAGCATGAATTGTTTGCAAAGATGCAAAATAAATATTACTATGAGAGGAAGTGTAAGTACTATTTCTTGTCTCTGTTGTAATCATTTTGCTTCATCCTTTTTCATTTTACGCATTTGACTCCTACAGTCCTTATGTCAGCAGCTTCTGTCATTGGCATCTGTGGGAACAGGATCAGCCTGTCAGCAAACAGTTCTCCCTCTTTGCTTTGGTGATGATTTATGATGTCAGTTTTTCGCTGTAACCATGGTTTCTTTCTTCTCTGCTGCTAGAATTATCTTTATCATGTTTGGGTTTTTTTCCAAAGATGCTTTGTTTGGTAAATGAACTTGATTGACTTTCTTAAATGAGACATTAATTAATGTGGTTGAGTCTTACTGAATGTGAGCTCTCTCTGTTGTGACTGTCCTAATTTTATTCCTTTGTCTTCCTTTTTTTGCTTTGCTCCTACTTGGCAAGTTAGAGAATTAAGAGGTACTGTGTGCATGTTTCAGCATGGACATACTTCTGTTGTTGTGCATCTGTAGAAGGGGAATATGGAAGAGGAGGGTTGTTCAGAGCAACATTTTGCATTAAATACTTTCCTGACTCATGCTTTCTCAGCTTCTGATGAAAAACTTATGATTTGTGTATCCTTCTGTTTGTTATTCTTGCCTTTCCTTCCTCATGTCACAGTATCTTAAGTGCTGTTCAGTTTTACCCTGTCAGCTTATTTAAGTGCATACAAGAAAACTTTTAAGCCTGGAAATACCTGCCTGTAAAGGAGCCCGTGTCTAAGGGGAGCACTGGTAATATTCTTCTCCTTTCCCATGTCATCTTTTTGTCTGTGACAATCTTCTGGAGTGCATCGTACACTGAGCTCTGGTATTTTAGCCAAGAAGGATGGATTTAGAGCTCTTTACGTGCCAAACAGAATATTATTAATAGACTGACACCAGCCTGAGGCTATGTGCAGAGCTGAGTATAAACATGCTAGAGAGCCGTGCAAACCTAATACTTAAGTTTGGCCTTTCCTTCTCTGCAAGTGGCCTCAGTGGTAGGCTCAGTGCCCCTGGCTGGCACTTCTCAGCTTTCACTCCACTTTGACGTGTGACTTGGGTGGTTTGGGGAGGCAAAATGCACAAGGATGGCCCTAAAGTCTCATAGGTCATCAGATTACAGGTACCTCTTACCTGCTTATGTGAACAAGCTTTGCATGTATTGCAGAAGTTCTGTCCTGTGCTTGTATTTTGCTGGTATTGTGTGTTTTAATTTCTTTAACTAAAAGTTGTCTGAACTCTCTTTTTTGCATGTTACTCAGGGACAGCCATCAAACTCTTGTAAAATAAAAGAAACATACTACACTGCAGGATTTGACACATTTTTTGTGTTGACTGCACAGCATTCTTAATTTCTGAGGACATCTCTGAGTGTAAGGTGTTGTTCAGTATGTCTGATCCTTTTTTGTTTTAAATCTAGGCTATGAATTCCCTCTGCTGCTGTAAACGAACGGGTTCATTGTTCTTGGTTAGCATGGAGTGCTGCCATGCATCACCCATGAAGTGGCCTCTGTTCAGTGACAGAAGTGAATCAGTCAGACCTCAGCTGCCTGTAAATCTGCAGCACAGGAAGGGAAGAGAGGTTGTCAATGGCTTGGGGTTTGTTTTTGGTCTGTTTTTTTTTTTTTGGTCCTTTAGAACACAGGGTGCAAGTGTGAAATTTGTTGTAAATGATGTAAATGCTTTGAGTTCTTTGTAACCTAAAGAATCAGAGGTGCTGGCATGGCACCCTCGGGGAGCTCGCAAGCCGCAGTATCCCTGCTGTGTGTGAGAGCTGTGGTGCTCTCACATGGGAATATGTTATTGGAGCCATGACCCGGTTTAAAAATAAAAAGTGCCTTTTGGGTCATGTGGTTCACATGACATCTCAGAAGCATACGTGCTGTGAGACTTTGTGCAGGGAGGCCGTGTAGCAGTGAACTGCACAGGAGCCTGATTCTGCAAAATGTTCAGAGAGAGATTTGGGAGCAAATTCCATAATGTGTGAGGCAGCAAGGAGCAGTATTGCCACCTTTAGTTACAATTTCCTGTTGAATTAAGGCTTCTGTAGTAAGGATTCTGCTGTCGGTCCTTGTCCCTGGTAACTTTTGATCCTGCTGTCTGATTGCAACTCAGCAGAGGTTTCATTGGCACTAATTTCCTTCAAATTGTGTGAAAGCGAGTGCACAGATAGAAATCAAATTCCAAAACTATTCTACCTGAGGGGAAGTGGCAGTGTAAATTCCTGCCTTTCTTACTTCTCCCCATCATCTCACGCTCCCCTTCTCCTTGCTGCCACGGTTCAGGACTGCATGTTCTGGGTGTTACTTCAATTTAGGACCTGCCTGGCTCCCCTACTAACCTATAGTTAATAAAAATCAGATTCTGGTTTTGGTAAAGTCCCTTCCTTTGTCCCTGTGTCCTTCTCCCCCTGTGCCTAATGCTTTCAGCGTCTGGCATTTTTATTGTTTTGGTTTTGCAGCAAAGATGTTTCACACCACAGTCTCTGAGGGTATTGCAGGGTTAGTGCCCTGCTGCTTTGGGAAGTGCTGGTTGGAATACGCAG